CAGCGATTGCTTGTTGGCTTCTCTTGGGAGGATGCTCCCATCATTTGGTCAATGTTTGCTCTCCCCAGGCAGTGGAATGGAGACCCCACTGTTTGCCTTGCAGACCCTCTTCCAGGAGAAGCCCAACACGATTAAGTATTTGTTTCTTGTCTTCATCAGCTCCCTGTGCGCTCCCTATGCTCTTCACCGCCTAGGTCACAAAGTGAACGCAACAGTGTGGCGCAGAAATTTTTAAAGAAGAACTGCCCGGAACCGCTACTGCCACTTGTCTCCATTATAGGCCGCAGTCGGAGATTCAAACTTATTGTTCACATCGGACTCCCATACCACTCTAAGGAGGAAAACAGACATGTTCGACAAAGACACCATTTCTCTGAAGCGCAAGGCGGGTTTCTGTCCAGCAGGCGCTACGAGTACGTGACATGTGAGATTGAAACTCTTTGATGCATCCTCTAGGTGGCGCTCCTCGTCACGGGATTCCCGTGCACTCCGTTCTCATTATTGCACGCTGGCAGTGCCCTTTTGGCAGATGAAGAAGCCAAACAATTCTATGAAACGGTGCGCCGCATCAAGCAGTTGCAACCTTGCATCACTTGCCTGCTAGCCCAACTAAGAGCACTTTGGCCCATGCCCATGAACTTTAAGGATCAAAGACCCCAAATCTGAGGCAGCCATACTGGAGAATGTGAAGGGTATCTCGCGTGTGATGGATGATATCCTGTCCACCCTGCACAATCATCTACCTGGGAAACTCAGCTTTAAACATTGCTACCTCCCACTTGGGTGTCATGTTCTTGTCGGGCATTGAGGTATCAGATCTTTACCATAGAGCTGAATCCGTTTCTCGGCCTACGCCAGGTGTTGGAATCGATATATAATGTAACAATATACCCACCTGGTGAAAACTAAGGATGCAGCTTGGAGCGCCGGTGGCCAGAGAAAGAATCTACTTTCTTATTTTGCGGGGAGAGCTGATACGCGCTGACATTGACAACGTTGGGCACTTCATCAATGTCTTACATGAAGAACTTCAATCTGAAAGCCAGGTGACATGGTGCCTCCGCTGTATTTTAGCTCTACCATGTTACTGTGCCGGAGTATATACCTTCCTATTCACTGACTGGGCTAAGGCAAGACCTCCTACTGGACCGAAACCACCGGGCAGTCCAAAAAGACCTGCTACCACCGTCGCAAGCGGTCAGAACAAACTGTTCGACCAAGAAGAAGTAACTCAGCAACATGTAATTCGTGACTTTGAGAAACCAAACAGTATGGACCTGAATGTCATTTAGTTATCTTTAGCGTTCCTTTGACCAAGGCCGAAGAAAACATCCTTAAAATGGCCAAAGCACCATCGCCAGTGGGCCCAAGATCATGGGGCAACATGCTTAGAGATTGTGCAATACTGTCATCAACAAGATCATGAAGATTGCTCCCGGCCACGGCTCCAGGTGAACATGCGGGCGGCTGCTGGCAGCTTTCGAAAGGCTTTCCCTTTGGCAGCCCAAGAAATTCGATGTGAAAGAGAGCTGAAGGCCTGATTGAATCTCTTGTTTTTTCATTCAAGTGTCCTCGGTCCGCCGGAGGCTCTCGATTTAATTACTTCATACACTGCGGGGGACTTTGCCATTGCCAACGTATCGCAAAGCATTGGCAGGATGCAGTGCAGCCTGCATTCTGCCCCGATGCCCTGCATTACGTTAGGTCCTTACTTTGTAGAAGCGTATAAAATTGACCAAACCATCAAACATGCACCGGAGTCTGTTCTTTGACGGAGGCCCTGTGGGAAGTTTTTGGTGACAGGGCAACAGAGATTTCTCACAGGACTGGCTGGATTCGGACAATAACCCATGGCATTACCTTGTTCTTGGAGGACTTGAAGCTATGATTTTGATGGGCATTCCAGTGATGCAATTGGATCTCCGTGGATTCAAGAGCCGTGTTTCTCGTTTGTAAAATGCCATGCTCTCTCCTTCACGAGTCGTCATTCAGCCGCTCAGGATCTGCAGAAGTTGGCAGGTAACGGAATGCATATGAGGGCGATCCTGGCAGCGATTGTGCTGACGCTGCGATGCTTGAACCCGCAGCTTATGGCAAAGTATCTGATCTGAAAAAAGTGGCTTGGAATATTTGTAATCTAGCTAGAAAAGCCTGACTGTTGAATTCCTGCAAATGCCATTCCGCAAAGGCCCAAGTGTTATTGTTCTTGGTTGCAACATTATCAAACAAGTTATATATTATATAGAGATTGATTTCCACTGTCACATATTAGTGCATATCGTTGCCAAACAATCAGCGCAAAGCTGCTGCAGCTATATAATCCTTTACTGGACCTGGGTTCAAGAAAAACCTTTTTTTCAGCTTGCTGCCAATGGGTGTCCTTGGTCGATATGATGATGAGAAAGATGCGCTGATCGGGCTGGCATCAAAACAATCTACGTGGCGATATGATGAATCTGAAAGTGCTGACTCTAACTCTGGTGGCTCTGGTGATGAGAGCGAGTCCGATGATGAGAGCGAGTCCGAATCTGGAAGCTCAGAGCTCCTCAATTTAATCTTATCACGGGCCCCACCTGTGTTTTTTTTCGAACCTGTAGGCGTGCTGCCCTGTGAGGTCAACTGAGGGTTCACCATCAGCAGCCCGAGAAGTAGATTTGAAGCTCTCATATTTGCAGTCCCTCCGGGGTGTGAATGATTCAGGGGATCATTCAACCTATGCTGCCAATGGGGCCGATCGAAAACGGTTGAAGGAACTCTTGCGAGCCCCGCCTTGCCCATGCAAATGCTCTATGCCATTGAAGCCGCTCATGGCCGCCTGCCGCACATTTTGGGGTCTGCCAAAGGAAGCGCAAGACGCAGCTCTATGGAGCCTCCAGGTTGAGGCAGGAAGAAAAACAACGTGGAGCATTGAAGGACCCTGTAGTTTTGTTTCACGAGTCTCAGTTTGGTTACACAGTAAAAATATGTTGACCGAACTGTTAGGATTTCAGCTTTGCCGGACTTCTTGGCTACGATACATGGGAATTGGAAAGGAACGCCTCAATCGAACCAAGAAGCGTTACCGTGGATTAGACGAGCGCTCGCTCAACCAATGCACCATGGCAAAACAAAAAACATATGTGCCATGCATGTCCAATGTTCCTTTCCTTTGCTTGAATGAGGTGCAACTGCTCATGAAGCATACCAAAGCTCGAAAGTGAATAGCTTCTTTGCCCACCTTTACTGGACGGCGGCGGAAGCAATGCCCACCAAGCACCTTGGCTTGTTGTGAGTTCAAGCATGTTCACGGCAACGGTCAGCCCCTAAGGTTTGAAACTGCAGCAACAAAGGATGTGCAGGAAGAGTTGCTAAGTAAGTTGGTGCAAGAGAAGCTGTTAGGCAGCACACGCCAAATTCAAGAACTTGTTCCAGAAGAGCTCCCACACCGAGAACTGCCCCCTGGCAATACAGCTGCCCTGTATTTGATGTTCATCTCATGGGTTCGTTCAACGGGGACATGCAGCGATGAAAAGATTGCATGCCGCACCACCTTCTACAACGTGGCAAGAAGATGGTCAGCATGCTTAAAGTTTAGACACCGCTCGGAGCATTCAATGTGCGTTCAGTGCCAAACTTTGAAGGCCGCTATTCGTGCTTCGACAGAGTGGCTCTTAGTTGTGTTGATTTTTTGGAAGCACATAGTCTGGACACACACACGGTCTGTTTGATAGCAGGTTCTTGTAGCTGAGGATTTTCAAGAGCACTGTGATTTGTGCAACAAGCTCTTGCAACACTACTCATCACAGTACTTGGACCGTTCTGTGTACTGGGCAGCTCGCGATCGATCGTCAACCCAGAGAGACCTATTGTGCGTCATTGTGGACACGTTTGACAGATCTAAATTGTCACTGCCCCGCTATCCTTTTGACCGAACACCAAAACGAACGGTGTACGAAATGTACCTCAGAACCTCGATTGATTATTGCTGCTTGAAAGTTAATTTTTTGTTCACTAAATATCATTACCTTCCTTGCCTTCCTTATTGCGCTTCAGGAGCTTCTGTGGTATTGACCGCCGTCGTCGTCCATGGATGGGGCTGTTATTTATATTTGACGCCTCAAGAAGGGATGTCAGCTGGATCGAACTGGAACTGGGAATGCGTTCCTAGTTGGGCACATTAGGTCTCACTTCTTTTGAAGTTTCACATTAAAACTAAGACTGACTGTAAATCTGACTGTCGTGAAATCTGAGATAATGCGATCGCTGGAGAAAGCCTGGCTACAATGCAGGGCCAAGAATTTGCCATACCCCCCAGAGTGACTTGGGTTGATTGATGTTGATCATGATGGCAGTCAGTTTGATTGAGGGTTCACTTTCCGGCAAACTTCACTACTTGCAACTGAGGATCTGGATACAAAGCGACAACACTGTCAAAGAGCTGCGAAACACTTTCACCTCCCGTGCCCTTTGCATGCTCCTGCACCAAGGAGCGTTTCGTATTGCTTCTGAAATGCACCTGGTGAAGGGTCACACTCACGAGGATGTCGACGCCATTTTTGCAGTGTGTGCAAACTATCTTCGTTCAGCGGCAGATCTACAAACGCCACGCGATATACAAAGAAGACTCCAAGACAAAGTTGCACGTATATTCGAAAGCAAAGGGATTGCATTTTCAGTGGATGTAGTTGGGGAGGTGCCTTCTTCGTTATAAGTTGTTTTCATTTACTACTACACTGTTATTTAGTTGCAGCTTGTTGAAATATAATGGAAAGCAAACTTGTGTTTACCTAGCCCGAGGTCAGAGAATGGACCAAGATCTTTCCTGACAACATCACCTTCAAGAATTGCTTCAAAGTGCGAAAGTTGCAAGAGACTGATCAAGAACAGATTCCAGTGCCACATGCATTCACATTTATGCCAAGATCAGGACTGGGATCTGTGCGCTTAAGCCCAAGCACCACTTTTAAATGACATTAAACGATTCAATATTTCATATTGTTTGGGCATTGTTTGCCTGCACCATGCTGAACCACACCTCAGGGATGCCCGATGAAATTGAAGTCAGTGGCAGGGTCCCAGGCGCCTTCAAGTCTGGGGAATCCGGGTCAGATATCTTTGCAATGGTCAAGGCCACGATGGCCAGCAAGACATTGTCCCAGCCACCGCTGCTTGTGTGGCCTTCATCCATGCAAGACGTCAGCAAGAAGGCCGTTCAGACGGCCAATGGCCACGGGTGTCCCAGTGTCGGGTGTTCATTGGACACTGCCAGACGTGATGAGCTTCGATTGATGCTAGCCGGATTCCGCCGTGACTTCCCGCACATGAAGCGCACTATGGCATGGTACCAGAAGATGGTTGATGGGTTGGAGGAGGATAGTGCTAAGGGTCTACCTCAATTGACTTTCTTGAAGGATGCTCGGGCAAGCCATTTTGATTTTAGCCAAATTCAATTGGGTAGGGGGGTGCCACCACCAAAGCCACATGAGCTGCAAGTGGTGTTTCATCGTGGGGGTCCTTGAAACCGAATGGTTCAATTGCATCACAGTGGATTCCAGAAGGGTCAGGAAAAAGAGTTTTGCCTGCTGGCAATGCACAATCATTTTCCACACTTACAGCGTTTCGTTGCATTTTGCAGTGAATGTGTACGCTTGCAGCCTTTCAGTGAGTGTGAACAGAGTCGGGCCCCCCATCGGGTGACCATGAAGGAACCCGATAACACGCCGTCTTCCGCCCTTGAGCAGATCCAGGCGTACTTTGAGACTGTTTCTTGGAAATGTTTCTTAAAGTCTCAAAGGGTTCTGTTGCTTTCGGGGGCGCATGTGAAGGTGAAGGCTTTTGTTGATGGCTCTAAGGTTGTTGCGAACAAGAACCTTGGGCAGCATCTTCAAGATGTCTTTGGTGGTGGCACTCGCTTGGAAGAGGTGCGAGTATGTATCAACTTCTGCATGTGGTGGGTCAGTCATAGTCATGGCGAGTTGCACCAAGCTCTGCGGAGGCCATAGAGAGATTGGTGATGGCCAGGGCACTCCTTCCTGCATCCAAGCAATTCCTGTCTCTGATTCCAAATGGTGACATGGACGAGTTCTACCTGCCCCTCCATGCATTCGATCTCACGATCAATGCAAAGAACGGATGTGGGGGGTTTTCAAATTTTGTTTGTCAATAATGCTGTGTGTCTTGAACACTGTCTCTTGTGTTCAACACTTTGCCCTGCAGTTTGGCCATCCAACTTGCAGTATATCAACCATTTCAATGAGTTCCTGTATCATGGGTACAGGCCTGCGATCGGTACAGTAGAAGTCCGATTCCCAAAACGAGACGCCACGAGAACAATCCAACAAGGGACTGTGGGAATCAGCGACGGTCAAACAAAGATCATAATTATGGCGGCAATCATTGGAATGATAGTCGAGCTGGAGCTAGAGGACCACCCTGACTTGAAGGATGCAGGCTCCGCCCTTTCAAAGACGCTAGAGACTTTTGTAGCTATCCGGTGCAGCTACATTGAGTTCGTGAACCCCTCGCATCATTTCCTGCACTCCCTGAGAGTCTTGTCAGAAAAGTTTCAGTTTGTCAACCTTAGCCTTTTTGTTGTCCAAACTTCTTGTGACTTCTCGCGCAAACACCTAGAAATGGGCTTTGTGAGTGCGGAGAAGATCTCTCCATCGCCAATTTCAATCCTGGCAGACATCCAGGGTGCCATAGAAGTTGAGAAATCCCTGGGCCGTGGAAGAATGGCGTTGAGAGACATGTTGGGAAGAGTCGCATCAGACTTCAACAAGATGATTGTGACCAAGAAACATAGAATCGACAGTGGGAGGAAAACCCTGCTGCTGAACTTGTTTCTTGTCAGTCAGCATCGATGTGTGCTTCAAGTATTATGTTGTCCCGTTGTCGTGGCTGTTTCTTTCATTGGAAGCAGCCTAGGCTTCGTCTTCCCCGCAAAGCACAGGACCTATTGGCTGCACATTACGATGTGTACAAACATGATGTATCAGGCTGGCCAATACGAGTTTTACAGCGTGTAGTCTTGATTGTCTTGATAGTTTGGCTTGGTTGAGTATACTCTATTCTCCAGCTTGCATGGGACAAGTCATGTTTAACAGTTTGTCTTCCCTGCAGCCTTTCCCCACGACATACTTCACGGCGAATACTACGTTCCGGGATCTTTGTCGCGAAGGGAATCAGAGAAGTTCAAAGGGAAGAGGGTCTTCTCGGAGGTCCTTGACGTGACTGAGGACACATGCTTGGCCTACTTTGAACGTGCGATGAAGGACTAGAGCTGATGGGCAAATTCGGGAATGAAACTGAATACACAAACTGTCAACCATACCAATATTTTAGACTTACTGGCTGTTTGTTTGTGACTGAATATTATATAGATGTCGGTTTGACTTACAGCACTGCTACTTTGCAGGACTTTGTGAGGAGGGCTTCGAAGGACGCCACGGCCAAAGCAAAGGACTGCATGTCAAAACAATGAGGTGGTGTATTGAAAAATCTACTGCCCCCTCCTTAACAAATAATGTCAATGTTGCTCGTCAAAAACATAGTTTATAGATAGTCTCTCGTGCCCCCTCCTGTTTTTTTCTATCAGTTGTCCGAACCCCGTGAGAAAGAAGCGCAGCTCAGCGAACAAGGCCACATTGATCTTCATGACATAACGTGTCTTTGGCTCTATGTGAAAGGCTGCATGGCGGAAACCTTTCCAAAAGAAGTGATCGACCGCCATCAGACGCTCTTTGACAATGGGACACTTGGCGCAAAAAAAATCCAAACGAGCTTGCCAAAATCATGTCCGGTGGTTTCATGGGTTGCCAACTCGGATTTGGCAGCTGGTTTGTGATTGGTGACCTAAATTTTTTGGCCAACCCCCTCCCGATGTGATGTGGTCCGCAGAAACCGCGTCACAATTCTGGGAATTCTACCGGTGGAGTCATGGGGTGAAAAACTCAAAAAATCTCCAAAACCAATCAAACTTCAGGCTCCAAAAAATTGGGCAGAATGTGATGTGGTCCGCCAGAACCGCGTCACAAATACTATGGTTTTGAAGATATCAATCATTGGGAGAACTAGGATTTGTATGGTTTAGGAATGATTGGTTCTTGCTAAACCTATTGATTTATGATGTGGTCCTGGAGGACCGAATCAAACTCCCCCTCTCAATTTTCACTTTCCAAGTGTGATTGGTTTTTGACTCTTTTTGTAGAAACTTAAAAAGAATAGAATAAAAATATATTATCAAGCTCTCTCTCTCTCTCTCCTTCCGGCCCTCACAAAATTTGGCCAAGGCACCTGGACACTGATTTGTCAGCAGTGATGAAGTCAGGAGAACCTTTCGAATGGCAACGGATTCCATTCGTGCTTGAGGCCCTTGCAGGGATTCCAACTTCTTTTTGTAGAGACAGTTGGATCGGAGGGATCACTATGAGTTGAACAACTGTTACTGAATCTTATGTCAAGTCATACGTTCATTCAGGGCGCCAAAGGTATCGCTGGGCTTGAGATACTGTTTGTACTAAATAGATCTAAATATGGGGAGACCTTTGCTTGATCCTGACATGCTTTCTTGTTATCAATTGTTTTTATATGATACCATCATTTAGACCCATGCAAGGCGTGCTACTCTAGGCCCTAGGCGTTCAACCATGTGTTTGCAGGCGCAGGGACGCACAATGGAGGAGTATGTTGCTGAGCACCAGGATCGATCGAAAAATGCGCTTGATCGATCTACAGAAGCGGCGTTTGTCTCATGGCTAGAAGACCTCAAAGCCGATGAAGCCCTGTTCATGTCTGACAAGATCATGAGCCTCGGTTTTGCCTTGCAAAGTATGGTAATCATAATATTCACCGGGCATGTGCTTCCCTTGTGTGTATTTGGAGGGTTCCAAATCCAGCTTGTCAACCACTTAGGGCCCAGAAGGAGGGTGAAAGGACGCGTGACGCGTGCAAAACTGGTCAAGCAGCTGGAGGACTCCTGGCGCTCTTGGTCTTGAAAAAAAGTAATGCTTGTTAAACAAAAGAATACAAAAGAACATCAGGGTAGGCTGTGGTGTTACCCTGACACCTTGGACATCCTGGATACCAGTCCCTTCTGAATCACCCACCACCCCTTCAGGAATGCCACAATCGTGCCTGGGAAGCTATTCAGGAGTACATGGACAGCCATCTCAAAACCTTCAGTGGCAAGATGATGGACGGGGAACCGGTTATCATGCCCCAGGTGAGGTCATGGGCGCGCTCAATAGCCATGGATCTCAGTTCATCTACTGAAGACCATTGTGTGATTATGCTGATGAGTTGTCCAACAGCTGGCATATTGACGGGTCTTCAGAAGTCGTTCATCAACACCTTTGTCTGCAATCTGATTGCAGACTTTCCCCTGAATTCGTGCTGCTTGTTGGTGCATCCAAACAGGGCTGGCCAGTCAGATACAAGGACTGCGTGGAGGTTTTTACCAACATCTACTTTTACCCAGCATCCAGAATCTACAACAAGGTAATATTGAAGATTCGTTTTCAACTAAGGTGAGAAGACTTGTGCATTGGGACAAGAACAAACAAATTATTGCGTGATGGTTTTGCACTCATACCAAATATAACCCCACGATACTGCAATGCCAACAGGAAGCCTGCAGCAAAGAAAGAAGAAGAGGAACCTCCTGCAGTCAAGGATCAAGACCAGGAATCCGACGATGAGTCCGACGAGGATGAAAAGGATCGTGAAGATGTTGATGTAAGGGACATCCGCTACAAGATAGAGACGCTTGTTTCCCTTGGTTTGGTATTATACTGTTTGTTGGTTGAACACAGTTGCCGTTGTTTGAGGCCTTCCTTTGCTTTGTATATAGTTAGCCGCAGGGACGTTCTACGCTGAACTCAGGACCCAGTTCGCCCTCAAAGAGAAAGGTTTGAAGGTCCGCAATGTGACCTGGATCTTCCGGCCCGAACTTCAACTGAAGTGAAATTGAACAGTTTCCTTCTTTTGTATCTTTTGTCACAAGCCCCACATGTTTGTGTCGACTTGGAATGCCTTGTCAAGGGTTTTCTCCATAGTTTAAAATAAACTCATTCAAATCCTTGAGGTTTGGCTTTGAAAAGGCAACTTTTAACTAGACTAAGTAGAATTTTGGATGAATTCTTTTGGGATGCTTCTATGTAGCATATCATTGTTTTGGGTGGAGGTGAGCAATCTCTCAGTGAGGATACCGTGTATGGAAAACGTGATGGGCGCCTACAAGGATTGGCAATTGTTTCCAAGGATCCCAGGAACCTGATAAAGGCCACCAAGGGCTTCAAGACAGGAACGATTCACGACATCTCTATGTTGGGGCGGCAGGATATGTGGAAACCACAGGCATGGGGTTCTGCTTATATGTTGAGTGAAAAAAACGTTTTGGTCCGTTTATCTGCTTGTGACTGGTACTTGTTGTAACCAGGTTCATTCATCACCCTATTCCGATATTCCCCCTGCTGTCCTCTGAAGCAAGCATCATCCGACTTTGTGCACGCAGGTCAGCCCAGCGAAGAACCGCGGCTTGCCTCATTTGGGACGAGCATTCACTGATGTGCAGGAAATGCGTCAGGCTTCTTGACAAAGATTTAGAGAATACTGCATACTACTTTTCCGCCAATTTACCATGTGACATTATGTGACTCTATATTATTTAGATGCTGGAATTCTATTAGGTTGCTGGTGGTACAGACTTTGTGCGAAAGAGTTTGGACGCATTCAAGCCACCGACATGCAAACACACAATATTGCTGGACATGAACGGCTACGATGCTTTTCCAGCACTTGCATGTTTGGAGGATCGTTCAGCCAAAGGCAACTACCAAGTCAGTGTGTTTACTAGTCGTTTTTTGTTTACTGTATCTTCTTTGAAACTGGCCATGGGACATAGAATGGGGTTCAACTGCTCTTCTTCCCCTGCTAGGAGCTGGCAAACGGCAGCAATGCAATGTGTGGAACGATTTGTTTTGATACGAGTGGGTCGGACTTGGCGACGCGCATCGGAAATCAAATCTATGAACAGTGTCGTTCTGGGAGGTTTAGCATTCCAGGATTTCCTTCGTTTGATCCACTACTGACAGCTCTGAAGGCAGGGGTGGTTACTGAGAGGGACTCCACATTCAAGGTTTGCTGTCAACGCGGCAATTCTCTTCTTGCACTGGAGAGCTTCGCGCAAAAGTGGATGACCACCCCGCTCACCGCCGATCGTGCCAAAGAAGCTCTGGAAAACCACAATCGTGAGTTTAATGAGTCCAGTGACTTTTGGGCTGCCGACAGGACTGACAAAACCTTCCGTTGCAAAACTCAAGTCGCCGCCCCACGCACATCAAAAATTACCCAAACTGGGGTGAACTCCGACTGGGGGCAGGACTGGTGATAGCGAGGAAGGAGAAGAGCGGCCTGCCAAACGCATCAAAATTGAGCACTGCAAGTTTGAGGATGTTGCCAAGCTTGCCAACCCGCATCCAAACTGTTTTGGAAATGAGCTGAAACTGTTATTTTGACGATGCATTCATGGAAGGAGCTTCTTTGTTGACCCCACATCCAAGGCAAACTGTGGCTATCAACAACACGTGTGACCTTCTCATGGTTGAAAATGGTACCCAGCTGTTCATCTGCTCGCGAAGCAAAAACCAGTTCTTTGACAAGCGTGAGATGCCCCCTGGAAGTATGTGTTGGCACCATTTTGATCTTTTGTCTTTACCCCTTGAGGGATGGTGAATGGAGCCTTTCTGGTCATATTGGGTTTATGGTTAAACTGCCTGACAGGTTCAGCTTTGGATCTGGAGAATGGAGGGATGGACCAGCCACTCAGCTTTTTCCTTCACGCTGCTTTTTGAAGGCGTTCAGCTGTTGGTGTCAATCAGTTTTGGTTATTAGACATTCATCATTAATTAAAGAAACGGGAATAGCATTGGGCATCTTTATCTTCAGTCCATTGGGGTCACCATGTTCTTGGCATGCCATCTGCTAAGTGCTTTTTGAATGTTTTCTCTTAATCGAGGAGGGGACTGAAGTCATGCAAGACAGTGCATTCACCCGATGGTTCAGCTTTGCGGTGGATTCTTCAACCTACATCATCATGGAAAAAAAGTCGATGCCAGAGCATCTCCAACAGATCGACAACCTTGACACACCAGTGACGCTTCAAAGTATGGTTACCGACATGCAAGACTTGGGCGAGGTGCCTGGACTCAGAGGCAAATAGGATTATGTGTTTTCACTTGCTTCACACTGTCGTTTAGTGATATTGGCAATTGGTGATAGGATACGCTGGGATGTCCATAGTAGTTTTTGCCTTTCACTCAAACAAGGTAAAGCTGGAAGTCAGCCACCACGCGTTGATTGATGGCCATTGGAAAAGCTCCAAGCCGCTGGTTTTCGTGTTGGACAACCCGCCAGCACCAGATGTCAAGAAAGAGAAAGAAAAAAAGCCGAAGGGAAAGGCAAAGAAGAAGGAACAAGGATCCGGATTGACCCTGAAAAATCTTGGCGGCGCCTTGGACATTGGCAAGGTCAAGTCTGCCACCAACATGGTTTTGGCCTGGAGATGCCGGTGTCTCGCACTGCTGTTTTGACGACATGGAAAACAGTAAACCAGTAATGGGCCGATGACCCTTTTGTAGCAATTCTGTGATTACTGGTTAGTATGACTATCAGTGAGGCTGGACTGCTCCAATACTGGTGGGACCAAAATCATTACGCCTATTCGCCCTGTCATGGCCTTGGTGGGCAACCTGGACCTGGGTGAAGCCACGGTGCGCTTGATGTGATACTTTGGAATGGAAAGGGTGTTTCGTGGCAGGGGCAGTGGAAAAGCCCCGAACCCTAAGTCTTTAAGTCATCTAAAACCCAAAACACGTTTAGTGCATATGGCTTGGGCCCCAACCAAAAAAGAACTTGCTGCTGCTATGAATCTTATCGGGGTGTGATGCCACTGGAGCCAAGCGAAACACTTATTGCAGATCTTACTCTGGAAGCTCGGTGTCGCTGGGAGATTTACGGGGAACGAGTTTAAACCACCAGAGTCCGACTTTGTTTTGGGTATCTCTGGGTCATTGCCACCCAAAGATTTCCACCTCCACTTAGTCCGGGCAAAACGCACAACTCCGTTTTTGAGCTTCCCAGCAATTTCAAGAGCATCTTGATCCAGCATTCTGGCCACCTGGTCAGTGCGGGCACAGTGCACAATGATGTGCAATTTTGAGAAGCTTTACATGGGCATTCTCTGTCAGTGATACCAAATGCCCCGGACTGCACCACGCAGGAAAAAACATGGAAACCCAGCCATGCTGCTTTGGTTTGCTTGGACTTTGAACTTGTTGGTTGAGTCACGTTTCCCAATGGATCAGTCATGTTTTAATATTCACTGGTTGTGCGACAGCCCTTTTGAACAAACAGCAAGGGGTGAGTGCGCCTGTGCAACCTGTGCACCTATGGCGTCGCAATTTGAAGATGATGATGATGATGACGTCCAGGAAGTGCCTCTTACGACCTGCTTACGCCCACCTGTTCCGCTCCTGATCATTGTGTCATAACTGATTGAAACAGAGTTGAGTTGACAAATTTGCTGATGGTTTTGACACACTCTATTCCAAGGCTTTTAATCTACGACGGTTGCTGGCCTCCGACAACCTGGGACCTGCAGCTTTAAGCCCATGTCCTGCTACGCGCACCTCGCCTCCAAGCTCAGCAAGACAAGTTACTGCTGCTGGTCCTGCAACGTCGGCGTCAGGCGAGGGAAATAATCAAAGTCAATCCAACCCCCACTTGTATAATATATATACTTTATCATACATTATAAACTATATTCACATGCAAAGCAGTGGAATATTCATTCAACTGCGATGCTGTGGACAGGTTCTGCACGACCTCCCGCAGGGCATGCTCTTCCCCCGCGGGTTAGTGATGAGTCTTCCTCTCCTGCTGCCAATGAAGACAAGGAAGGTAAAAAGAAAAAGGACAAGGGCAGCAAGAAACTCCCACAACCCAAAAGAAAGGGAAAAAAACAGAAACAAGATGATGGCCACTCAGAAGAAGAAGAAGAAGACGCTGAGCATGCACCATTGGGTGAACTTGGGTATGATGATGATGATGAGCTTGATGACCCAACTGGCAACGATACCAACAACGGCAAGAACCCCAAGGGTGAGAAAGCTTCAAAGAAAACAGGTGCTGGCAAAACCAGTGTGAAAAAGAAACCATGCACAAGGACAGGAAAGAAACGCCCAGACCACGAGGAGCGATTGTTGCTGTTCCAGTTGTCTGTCCTTTGCTTTGTAATGGGATTTAATGGGTAATGTCCTCTTATTTTGGCAGTGCTGCGCTGTGCTGGTTTGGATCCAGGAGTCACAAGATGAAGTTGCCGGGGACCGCAAACCATTTCAATATGAAATTGAGCAAATGCGCCGCTTGGAAGAGGGCTCACAGACTGAGCTGCTTGGATTACACGTCTCATCAAAGCAAAGATCTGTAGGCCCCATGCCAATCAATTGTCAATTTCAATATATAGCTGAGTTCATTCCGCTCATGACATTTATTTCTTTGCTTTGCTAGCCATTCCTCAGGTTGAAGACAGAAGTTCCAGCACCATATCAGGAAGATCCTGACAATCAAGTGGGCTTAGAGAGCCAACACGATTTTGCGGAGGGTCCGAAGGGTGATGAAGGCTGTGATGGTATGGAGGCCCCGTGAATCTATGTGCGTTGATGTTTTGCATGTTGCTTCCCCGATCAACCCGATCAACCAAAGACTGGCCGCAGTCCTTGATCTCCAGGAGGCAGAAACGCGCCATCGCATGGATCCTGAGATCGCCGGTGCTGCGACTGCCGCTGAGCCGCAAAACAGTCTCCATATTAACATGATGCCACAGGATGTGAATTAAAAACCCAGAGCACACAGCAACAAGACTAAGTAATAACAAATAAATATAGCAAAAACTATTTTCTTGCATTTTCTTGCAACTGTTTTCTCGGTTGGTTGGACATGGTTGGACTTCACTCGAAAGTGTGATGTGAACTAATGAACCGTCACCGCAATTGAACGGAAACTGCAGGACACCCCATGCCCAGTGGACACTGCCTTTATCGATGATATGGGGGACATGACCGCCTTGGCTCTTCAACAGGTCGAAAAGACCATTCAAGGGAAGGTGTCTGACCCAGCTGTGCCAGCCGAGGAGGTTTCTGAGCTTGCGAAAACGGCATTGGAGCATTGTACCAGCATGCTTGATTGTCTGGAAACCATTGCTTCCATGCCTAGTGGACCTGTCTTCTCCGTTGAGGAAGAACAAGCTTTGAGATTGGCTGAAAGCCTTGAGAATGCTGAAGTAGCAGAGACGCAGATGGACCCTGCGCCGGTGAAAGGAGATGATAGTGACTCCGAAACGCTGGACATCAACAGCGTGCTGCACGGTGACCCAACTGACCAGCTTAAACAAAGCACCCATGAGCAGATCGAACAGCTTATCAATGACCCGGAGCAGGCATTGAAAGACGAGAATTTCATGAAGGAGGCAATCACCAATGAGAACCTGGCAGAACAAATTGCATGTGCCCATAGGGTGGCAGCACGTCAGGAGAAAGGCCTTCGACCGCACCAGCTCGAGATCGCTGCAAAGATTCCAAAGCAGACTTCCCGGCAAGGCATGAAAGAAGCAGCAGCAAAGGTCAAAGCAAAAGCAAAAACAGCAAAAGCAAAAGCAAAAGCAGCTGCAAAAGCAGCTGCAAAGAAAAAGACACGGGATTGCAGTGGAGGTTCCCAACAGGCTTCCAACCAAACCAGCCAAAGGAAGCGCCGCCCAACCACTGATGCCAAGCATGCCATGCCCACCAAGGGAAAGCGAGCCAAACTGGCCAACACCAAGGATGACACCACCGATGCCGAGCATGCCAAGGGCACCAAGGACAAGAACGCCAACACGGGCGAGTCCGAGGTCAGCATGGTCGTGTTGAAGAAGAAAATGCACTCTGCATCTTGACTAATGAATAAAAATAACACCAACGTAGCATCAGTCAGAAAGTAAAAGAACTAAGATTTTATTTTTTGCATTGCCCTAAAACCGAGGTGTATTCTACGGCTTGGGTTGCTGCAAAGAAGAATCATGATGACCCATCCAAATGGAAGTCATTGGCATCCAAAGCCTGCAAGCAGCCACTAGGCATATCTTGTTGGGAGTATGCTGTTGACATTTGTCAAATCTATGAGTCCTACAAGAGAGATTTCTCCCCCATCTAAGGTGGATCATCAAGAATGGCCATGAAAAGCACCCTGCAGCGATGATCTACCTGTAGGATGGATGTTTAAATGCATCCAAGTTTCAGTGTGTTCTTAGACACACTTCGGCCAACTGGCCACTGGGGGAGCAAAAAAGACTGCGGCTTGGGGGAGCGTGTGCGAGGACCCACTTCTAGAATGTAAAGGACCCACTCACAGCTGGACTTCCATTCCCTTGTTTGTTTGCATCATTTCAGGAACAATATAGACGACCGGCCATCGCTTACCTGTCAGTGTAACTTGGGGAATTTGCTCGACCGAAATGGGCGGAGTTTGTTCTGCCCAGGATGGCTCTCTTTCAGCGGTTGCAAAAGCCTTCGCTGCGGTCTGGATCATTTGCCACGCTGCACCCAGCTGCACTATGTGGCGCCTTGTTCGCAGATCGCCCGGAAGGCTTTCTGTGGCCCGTGGGAAACTTGGTGGTTCAGTGAGAAACCAAATAAGGGGTCGGTGGTTTTGTGTCACTCCTTTGAATGTCTAGATTTGTGATGATTTGTGCAGCCGCCTTCTCTTTGCTTGGAGTATCTAATCTAAGGAGATGACGAGGCTTGCAGCCGCCTTCCCTAGGTTCAAAAAGCCCCTCTTTTGTGACGCAGTCGGACACCTCAAACCGGGCGTACGATGACATACTTTGTTTCTCGTTCTTTTTCACAGATCGGGTAGCAGTAGCCCCCATCGACTTCCCGTACTACCAAGGATGCTTTTAGATGCTCTTAGCAGGTCTTCTTTCAGTGGTAGGTACTCGTACCTTGCATCTTCCGATGGCGTCGGTCTACCGGGCACTCCGTGGAGGGTCGCACAGGTGGAGAGGTCCTCCTCGGACCGCCCTTGGACGGACCGTCGCATGTGCATCGCGGCAAACGGAGCGATCGGACGCTACGAACGTAGCTCCTGGCCTAACTACTTAGCAAGAAGCTACTATAGTTACTATAGTAACAAGGGCTATTAGTAGCTAATCTTTCAATCTTCGGAGCAGAGCAGCACTTGGGTCTTTTCACCGTCGCTGTTGGGGCGTTCGCTCCCGGCATGACGGTGACCGGCCCAGGATCTTTTCGGCTGTCCCGAAGTGGATGCTTTCAGCTGCTTCGTGGCCAGCAGCGACCAGGCTGGACGGGATCGAGGAACGTCCGAAGCGTCACAAGTGAACGGGCACAGTGGCGAACGGGTGGCTGGATCGTAGCACACGTGCATCAGGTATATAAATCTAAGGAAGGACCACTGGTGGAAGCAGGTGTCAGGTCACGGCCAGAACACTTCTGCAAACCACGGGGTCCAACCCAAATGTTCTGTAGCCTTTTGATCA